AAAAAGAAGAATAAAAACAGTCTTATTAAAAGGAGCCATTTCTACATTATTTGTACCAGTAAGTATAATATTGTTATAATAAGACTTCAAAAATTTAACTTTCATAACTTTAGATAAAAATAGAGAGATTTTTATACATTATAAAACTGCCGAACATTAAAGATAAACAATCTTGAGATTATCCTCTTTAAGCCATTATGAAGCGAACTAAGTATCTATTTATCAACCAAAATTAATTAAGCTATGCAACATTGTGAACATTTCTCATGTAGGTGAATTATAATTCTTTTGAGAAATAAATATCTTAAACCACAAAATAAATGTATAACCTTACTTAACCAATCGCATAGCCTCGCGGTCACACTAGTACAATATTCATAGCATCACGCTATTTTCCCCAAGGAGTTGAGCGGAGCTTCGTATTATAATCCCAAGTCACAATGATAAAGCTTTTAGCGTAGTTAGGTATAGATATTTATTAATGCTCCTAGTGCCACTAGACGCTCGCGCATGAAACGCGATAATATAAATTCTATAGTATGAGTATCAAACTCACAACGTTCGATGCCCGATTCATGCTTGATGGCCATTGACAATTGAAAGACATTGTGCCGAGGGCTTAAATAGTGTGGTCCGTCGCCTACAGCGTTAGTCGTAGAGAAGAGGAACTCGTGGTTAAGTAATAGTTGTGCGGATCAATAGATCTGCACTTGCCGCGGTCAGTCCATGAATCAGTGACCATTTTCTTAACATACCGAGATTGAGAGAATAGAGAGTCCATCTGTATCCTTAGACACTTGGTGTACTTTACTCTGTTAAGATCATTATGTTTTTAAAATTCATGCAAAATATATAAAATGCAAATTCATAAAATGATAATAGGTTTATTATTACTTTATACTTTTCAAGGACAGATGAAAGAATGTAAACATGAAGCATGATAAAGCCTCATAAACATATAGGCCTTTAAACAGAACAATCGTATTTAACTGATTGCTATAAGTTTCCTTACTTAAATTATTAAGGTTACATTCATATATAAGTCGAATGTTAAAATAAACTTCTATAATGTATTTAATTATTATTAACTAAATGTTTGTAGTTCTCAATATTAACTTACTTTACTTATATGAAAAACTAGCTGTGCCCGCGGCGTAGCTCGCGAATGTAGGTTTTACTTAAAGAATTTGACGTTTAGGGTAAGAGAATATTAACCGATTTATATCATTACTCTATGATTAACTGGTAACAAAATAAATCGATATTCTCAAAGTTCTAAGTCGTTTATGATAGAACTTCTGTGTAAACGACGATAGAAGTAGACTTAGCCGGGGCGTACAGAAAAAGGTTACGGGGACTACTAACGCGAGAAAAAGCAATATAGAGCTGGCCATGTGCAAAACAATCAGTACTGACGCGTAAAATTTGACCTTGCGCTTAATTTACGATCGTCGCATAACACACGCTGAGTGGGAAACACACTTAAAATAGGGATGTTCGATGATCATCGATGTAAAAAATTAAAACTTTGATGTTTTAACATCGATGTTGACATATGTCAAACATCGAAACATCGACGTCAATGAACCCATAATCGATAATTGGGAACTTGCAAACAATGTGAACTCGCGAAATCAATATAAACTAAATCTTGCATCTGCTCTGAAGATTAAAAATTTTGAATAATTCAGAATTTCTGAACGCATCGTTAATCTAAAAAATGTCAGTATGGTGAGTCAAACTTAATTGTCAAGTGTCTCCTGTAATGTCACAATGGTCACTGCTTTCGCTTTATTATGTAGTGTCGTTGTCGGTTGTCGCATAATAACTATTCTACATAAATTGATATTCAAGTTAATTGTTACTTTTCCCTTGCTGTGTATACCCACATAATTTTAAAACAATGTGTAAGTATCTACACATATACAAAAACCATCGATAATGGTCAACATCGATGTTTTGAGTAGCCTAAACATCGAACATCGATTTTGAGCTAGCGATGCCAACATCGATGTTATTATCCCTATCTTAAAACTGAAGCCTGAGCCGTGGTAGCTCAGATGGTTAGCGCTCGCTGTAAGCTTCACAGTACTCGAGCAACCCGGGTTCGATCCCCGCCGGCACCAATGAAATTGTTAATTGCAATTTTAAGTGCTGATTTACCACGTGCTCGGCGGTGAAGGAAAACATCGTGAGGAAACCTGCATGTTTGAGAAATAAAAAAAAAAATATTTCGATGACATGTTTTTTTTTTTTTTTTTTTTTTTTTTTTATAGGATAGGGTGATAAACGAGCACACAGTCCACCTGATGGTAAGTGGTTACTGTGACCCATAGACATCTACATCTATCCTCAATAAAGACTCAAGATGCAGATGCGTTGTCACCCGTGAGGACTAAGATGGAATGCCTCTTTGCCAGTAAAAAGGGTCTCCGGTTCTCTACACTCACCATACGAAACACAGCAGCGTTAAGCTGCTATTTTACGCTGGTTTTCTGTGAAGTTGTGAAGTTCGCCAACACGTATTGGGGCAGCGCGGTGGACATTTCCTTGCTCCTTGCTTCCTTCCTCTCAGAAATGAGAGGAGGCCTGTGCCCAGCAGTGGGACGTAAATAGGCTGCAACTTTACTTTACTTAAAACTGAAAAAAAAGTTATTTGGTATTAGAAGAATTCTGGGTATAAAACAATATCACTATCACGACATTTATTGCAATTTTGCTACTTTTAGTCGAGCTTTGTTGAATAATTAAATATTTCAATACCTCTGTATACATACCTTACAGTCTTGCATCAGACTCATGGACATAAATTAATACAGTGAGTCTCAATACGATTCACCTGCGAAAAATCTTAACACCGCAATTCAGAAAAGGTTGTAATTTGTACAACGCCATCTATTATGTTCTTTGTGAGAAAGCATCCTTTTTTAATTTAAGGAAAACATATTTTTACTGTGTTTTAAGTACTATAATAGAACGATACGATATATATTATAATAGAACGTTTTTTTTACACACGAATCTTTTTATTACTATTTCTGGGATTTTGTGGCGCCATTAAACAAATTCGAACCTACATTTCAAAATAATAATCATGACTTTCGATAGAATTAACCAATTTCAATAAAACAAAGATTAAATGAACTTGATAATACGCTTTATGATTTTCTTAAGGATTTCATTGAAAAAAAAAAGATGTTTACTCAAAAACGTCATGCGTCCATAAACAAACTGACAGACCGTCAGATAGTACAATTCTAAAAATTATAAAAATGTACTTATTTAATGATTTACAGTCCCCATAATGATTTTAGTCGCAAATTAATATACTATACAATATTCAGAAACAGACATAACATGTTATTACCATTTTTATTATATGTATAGATTTAAGAGAGATGGCGCTGTTAACATCAATTCTAAAAATAAGAGATTAATTCACACGATTGATACAATAAAAAACATAAAAGAACTTATAAATCAGTGCCTGCATAGTAAGCAAAAAGGAAAGTTTGATCCTCGCCGAAAAACGAAATTGTTAATAGCTCTTAAAATTTGATTTACCACATAGAGTACTCGGCGGTAAAAAAATAAAAAATAAATGAGATTGTCAACACGCAGTAGGGCAGCGTGTCATTAATATAAAGGTTAGAAGCAAATATGAAACTCAACTACAGGAATAAATTTTAACCTGCCTTTTTGTATCACATTTATGCCACACCACCATCTATCGATGAAATTGGTTAACTATTGTATTTTAATTTAGTTTAGATAATAAGGTTAATATATTTTGTATATATTTATTACGTACTATATGTAATACTTTTGTTTACTGCGTTTTAGATATAATTATATCATTATAGAACATTATTTTACATCATTTCATTATGATTTATAATATGATATTAATTTTAAAATGTACTTGATGACTCATCCAACGCCACTATTGAACAAATTCGCACCTATACTTAACCCATACTTCAGAATATTTGTCATAACTTTTGATGGAATTAACCAATTTTAATAAAATAAATACTAAATGTAACCTGAATATACACTTAATAATTTCCTTAACTATTCTTATGATATAAATTAGTACTTTATACGTGATACGTTAACAAACAAACAGACAGACAGACAGACAGACAGACAGACAGAAAAATCTAAAAATGGTAGAAATGTATTTAATTACTTATTTTTAGTACCTCTCAATCACTTTTATTACAAAAATATAAAATGTACAGACATCTGCTATTTACATTTTTATTATATGTATAGATAAGGCAGTCATTATATACTCCGTTTTTTATTTCCCCATCAAAACATTTTATAAAATATAAATAGGTATATACTTAGTTAAGTGTCTACCTCTTTATATTAACAAAGAAAAAATCAAAAAAGAAATTCCGGGGAAGCTGTCCATGTCGGTAAATATTTTTTTACATAGATCATAGCTCGCTATTGACTTGGGATTTTATACATTTTAATTAAAATCCAACAAAAGGTAGGTAGGTTTAGCTTATTCCCAGGAACATGTTATATGAATATTCTTTAATTATTGTAGAACTATCATGGTAAAAATTCAGTTAATTTTTGAAGTTATTCAATTGCGTGCATTAAATAATTTTTTATAAATCTTTTTACCGCTTCCTTAACAATCATTTTTCAATAGTCCTAGTAAGTAAAATGCACATCACTAGATAACGCACACAATGAGAAATCAAGTTTAGTCACGCGTTTTCGGGCTTTCAGGTCGTCTATACGCCAGTATATTCAAAGTCTATGCTTTCAGCTATGAGACCATTTCTAAATCTCCTTTTCTCTGTTTATATTATATTCTCTTTGGTATAGATATTTCAAAGAAATTGGACAAAAACTCTTTTGTTCATTCTTAGACAGAAAAAAACACAAAAGATTTAAAATTGACATTTTTAGCAAGTTTTAGTTTTACCTTAGATTTTATTATTAGAATTTTTTTGAAATATATACATAAATACTAAATGGATATCACATATCAGTTTACTAAAAAGCGAGGTAACTTCGGACGTCAGCCTTTATTTTGTGACCAGGGTCCCCAAATATGTGACAGCATCGTCCCGCTCGTTGCAGAGCGCAAGAATTACATTCTACGGAATCCCGTGCACCAGCAAACGCAGAACACACCTGCTGCATCGAAGCACCAAGTTAATACAATCAGGTTATTTTGATTAGCGTATTTTTATTGAAAAATAAATTTCATTTTTAATAAACAATAATAGCAGTTACATTACATATTATTATTTAGAAACGTAGTCTATAGGACTGAATGTTGTAATCACAATTTTAAGTGCTAAATTATCACGTGTTAAAATAGTGTTTTTGAAGTCTGTCAATACTTAATAAGGCTATAGTTGGACAACCTGGTCCTTCAAGTCTGTCATAAATTACAGGTTGTCTGAATCTAGCAGTAGGAGAGTTTTGGAGTGAACTTGACCGGCGGCGGTTTGCTGCTTCTGTATTATATAGTTTAAATAATAGTTTGAAGTGGATTTTGATATGTAAAAGTGGTGGTATTTTATGTAATTACTGTCTACGCATGTGAACTATTAGTGGAAACGGTGAAACAAGTGCTCTGATGGTGATGGATTCCCAAGATAAGCTGTTTGTTTGCATAGGCGCCTTTATATACCATCGCTAACTGTCAGCTATCTGCTGGCTCAAGTTACCGTCAAAATCTCCCAAGGGCTGCACAATGTGACGCATCAACATATTGTGAAGCAGTGAACTATGAAGGATATACAAAATAAAAAAGACAAGGCTGTATGGCTTAGTTCCTTTGCGTGCTCTCTCGAGCGAATAATAAAAACAACAACAACTAGCAGTAGGATATAAATTGTAGGTTTTGCGTTTACTTTATAATCATAATATCATGTATTACTATTATCGTTATCGTAGGGCCGAGTACACGCATTCGGGCGCAAACCATGCGGAAGGCGGCTGGCCAAAAGATGTAAATATAACCGATCCGGAAGCAACCCAGAGATACCGGCGAAAGATCGAAAAAGATGACAATTATATACACTGCGTTATGTCACTTTCGCCCGTGAGTCAAATAGATGATATTTTTGTGGTAACTTTGTTACGAATGGAACTCGGCTTCAAAGTTGACATCTTCCCGTTCCATTCTTACAGGGCTTGGAACATTATGTGCTACAAAATAACGCAATCGACATGTACCGCGCGTATTACGCCGAAATGTCATCAGTTCCGGGTCCGGAGCGCAGCAGCGTGCGCACCGTGAACGTGTGCCGCGAGCCGGCGCCGGGGCGCTGCGTGCGCGCCGTCTGCTGGCAGCCCGACGGCTGGCAGTTCGCCGCTGCGCACGCGCTGGTGGACTTTGACCGACGGTCTCTGGCGCCCCAGCCCTCGTACGTGTGGGACGCGAGTCACCCACAGGCTCCACTGCTCACCTTGGGAGCACGTGACGACGCAATGCTGGACGTGGCGTACGCGCCGCGAGTTCCACACTCGCTAGCTGCCTCACTGCTGGGCGGCCGAGTGGGCGTGTGGGACACGCGTCGCGGTGGCGACCCGGCGCTACTATGTCCCCCGCATATCGCCCACCGTGACCTCGCCCGCCGCCTGCTCTTTATCAACACCAAATCCGGACAGGAGTTCTTCTCGAGCGGGCCCCATGGCGTCTGCAAGTGGTGGGATATGCGCAACTTAAACGAAGTCACGGACGAGTTGATCGTAGACTTGGTGAAGTCGTCCACGGAGCAGCCGAACATGGCTACCGCGAACGGCGTCAGTGCACTTGAATATGAGCCCACAATCCCGAGTCGGTTCATGTTGGGTACCGAGAACGGACTAGTTATTAGCGGAAACCGTAAAGGCAAAACAGCTTTTGAGAAGTTACCAGCAAAGGTAACTTATCAAGAAGTATATAATGAAATCATAAAATCTTAAATATTTTGTAGAATCATGAATATTCTTTGGAGTTTCATCAACATCATCTTCATAAGCCTGTGGCAGCTCACTGCTGGGCATAGGCCTCTCTCAAGGCTTGCCACTTAGCTTGATATTCGGCTTCACGCATCCAGTTACTGAGAGACGTCTTGCGCAGATTGTCATTTAATGAAAGGTCTTTACATATCACATTGCCATTCTGCAATAATGGCCATTTCAAATCTAAATAATTTGAAAAACTGTTGACCCTGCAGGCCATCCCTGGAAATTCCCGCTTATTTTCGAGGGTAACACTCGAAAATCTTTTTTTTATAGTACAAGGGTAACGAGCGAGCACACAACCCACCTGACGGTATGCCATGTGGCCCATAGACATCTAAATCTTTTCATCGTTTGCGAATCAAAATGCAGAAGGTTGTCAGCCGTGAGGACTAAGATGAAATGCCTCTTTTCAAGTAAAAAGGGTCTTCTGTTGTCTACAATCACCATACGAAACACAGCAGCGTTAAGCTGCTGTATTTGGTATGGTGAGTGTTGTATTTTACGCTGGTATTCTGTGAGAGCGTGGTCCTTCCCTGATTGACATGAAAATGTAATCAGCTTGAAATTTCAATGAAAACTTTCGAACGCCACGAGCCCATCTCGATCTTTAGAGAGGAAATTTGAACCGCATTGTTACCTGTGACGAAAAATGGATTCTGTTAGACAAACGAAAGCTATCAACAAGTTGGTTGGATCCTGGTTCAGTACTTAAACAATGCCCCACACGAAAACTTACCGCTATAAAAATGATGGTCGCTGTTTTTTGGTCTAGCGCCGGTATGATTCATGACAGATTCTTACCAAACGGGATGAGAATTACTGCAGATGTGCACTGCAAAGAACTAAACATAGTGATCGCCGTCTCTAACCAACTTTGGTCTATCGCTTGTCCCCGCTACTCCTACACGACAACGCGTAACCTCATACTGCACAACAAACGGTCTCAAAGTTACAAGAGCTGGGGTTGGAAGCTCTCCGTTTTCCGCCATACTTACCAGATCTTGCGACTTTTTTCCAAAATTTGGATAACTTTTTTGGCGGGAAAAAAATTCTATACCCAAAAAGAGAAGTAAAAAATGCCTTTGAAGAATTTGTTGCCTCCCGTTCAGCTGATTTCTTCAATAGGGGCATTAGCAAACTGCCACAGCGTTGGTAAAGATGCATCAATTGCAAAGTAGGTCATTACTTTGATTAATAGAATTAAAAAATATAGAAAAAAATTACGTTAACTTATTTTATAGAAAACAACAATTTCATATGTGAAGACCTAATATAATGATTGATGATTTTGAAAATGTGACAAATTAGGGGATAAAACATAAATCTTCTCGATTCTCATTCCTCCAGTCTTACGTACCTTTTCTATAGTAACGGAATTTACCGTAGTCGCCATGTTTAGTAAACAGAATAGATAACTCGCATCAGTGGGTATATTTTAGATCGTGTAGATTAGATAGTTGAATTATCAACTTAAGGGAGGATTTTTCTGTCATTTCTCTTAGGAAATCATGTGACATGGCATCCCGATGGAAATATTTTTAACTATAATAATATATTAATAATAACTATTGTAAAAATTACAAATCGTCTTTTTTTTAATATAATGCAATAACAGTACGAGGCGCATTTGGGACCAGTGTGGTCGCTGGAGCGGAATCCTGGTTTCCTGAAGAACTTCCTCACGGTAGGCGATTGGTCGGCGCGCGTGTGGAGCGAGGATTGCCGCGATTCCGCGATCATCTGGACGCCTCCGAGCCGCCACCGCATCACTGCGGGTGCCTGGAGCCCTACAAGGTTACCATTACTAGTTTCAAAGTCCCAGTATATATACAACGTTTGTCCATTACCAGTTTTAAATATTTTATTCAACAAAAACTATAAAAGGGTTATTATAATAGCCCGTGGAAATGAGGTGGCCGTTTCAAGCTGTTTCTAAAATAAATTTTGTGAATTCTTTGTGCAACCTTTCATATTGTATAATTTACTTTGAAAAAAAAGGCCAACTGGGTTTCTTGCTGGTTGTTTCCAGGACAGACGTATTTTTCCGAAACAGTGGGTAAAGTAAGAAAAACTTTTAAATAGAAAATATATGCAAACTATAAATAATAAAAAAAAACTATTGGTAAATCCAATTGTGCATGCCTTAAGCGCATTAAAATTATTACGTACAACATGATTATACCAAATTTTTTAAAGTAGTTTAAATACACACATGTTTTTACTAATAACCTTATTACTGTACTTCTAATTTTCCGATAATATTATGTCAAACTTCAATTAAAAAAGTTACGAGTACTTTACAGCAACCATGGTCACGGAAGGGATTGTTCCCCCGTAAGTAGTCATAGGTATGTCATAAATTAATATACGCGATCCTCCATTCATATCCATCCTTTAGAATAGTTGGGTGACTTGCTTTGTATACTTTAACATCACACCGAAAGCAATGTAGAGTTAAAAAAAAGAATATAAACAATTTCGAATCATACCGAAATTTTGTTGTATACTCGTAAAAACAGTACAAATGATGTTTGGGGTAACAACCGGCCTTTTTTATACACGACGAGGCAAATGAGCTTGCGGCTCACCTGTTTGCAAGTGTCAATTGCCGTCCGTGAACAACTGCAACATCAGGGGAATTGCAGGTGCGTTGCCAGCCCTTAAAAAAGGAGTAATCTCGTTTCTTGAAAGTCCCTAAGTCGTATGGGCCAGGAAAAATCGCCGGTAGTAAAGAACTCCAGAAATAACTCGTGCGAGGGACAAAACTCCTACAAAATTTTTTACACACACCATAAGAAACAATAACATCATGCTACTATTTTGCACCAATATTCTATGTGAGTGTGGTTCTACTCCGGTCTAGTTCGGCCCTGCCACATAATAGTCTGTTCTCTGTGTTGGTTCAGCAGGATGTCTCTGATGGTGCTTACGCAGTGGAACGGCGCGCTGGCAGTGTGGGACCTACTGCGGCACCAGCACCGGCCGGCGCTTACCGCTCAGCTGTGCCCCGAGCCGCTGTTCTCACTACGTATGCACGAGACGGTTAGATGATATCATCACATTATGCTGCTCCTGGTTTGCGTTTTGTACACGTACATAAACTTCCTCAAGATCCAATTTCGATCACGGCTCATCGGAGACTAGCTATCTAGCTATCTGGACAGGATTATAGTGCACAAGTGTATGCAGAAGCACAGGCGTTCTCTACCCTCACTATCATAGTCTGGTGTAATGGTAATCCAAAATGACCGGAGTGTGATCAGGCGCAGAACCAACGGCTATACGGGCTTTACGAGGCATGTGGTGAAACGTCGCAAAATTCCTGACTCCGGGCTGATACTTAGAATTTCTTGAAAGCAAAACCGAATAATAGATTTTGATCCCACCCGGGCTTCTAACCCGGGACCTTATGATCAGCAATTGTGTTTACGACTACTAGATCAACGAGACAATCAACTATATATTAAAATTAAAAGTTAAAATACTAGCAACTTAATCCTGTACTCGAAATATTTGTTTCCTCAGGGCACCCTGGCTGCCTGTGGGAGCGAAAAGGGCAATATTTACCTCGTGGAGCTGTCACCTAATATGGCACATACTGATAAAAACGATAAAGCTCTACTAACTGCTGTAAGTTTTGATAACAGTGTCAATTTTTCTGTGGAGACCCACCTAATAAAGATTCGATTAATAATCCCGTAATCTGCACTAGCCTAAGAGCCCATGAATGCCAATCGTGGATTTGGCAGGTAACATGTTTTAAAGGTGTATAAAATAGCAACTTAAAGGAGAAAACAAGTTATATTATTTACAAAATGATTTTTCAAGATACATTTTATTACAACATGTATCTGAAGAAGGTGTAAATATTTACAGATTAGTAACAAATTTTACGACAACGGCAGGACCATAAATTATCAACTATATAAAAAAGCTATAAAACTAAATGTATCTGTTGCAAAGATCTCCATGTTGAAAGAAGAGTAAAGATTGTAAATCGAAACGAGGACACAAAATGCCCCTGCATCCTATCGACGCAAAGGTGACATTTAGTGTACCTCAACATCGTGGATGAAATTATCAGAATGTCCGTAGTAATTAGCAGTAAGTCAATAAGTAGGCGTGATCGAGTTCGTATATTAATAAAAGCATAAGTCGTCAGCAAAAGCAGAAAAAGTGCAACGGTAAAGAAAGCGGGAATCAGCACAAGCAAAAATGTGATATAATCATAATTACTATATCACAAGCATAAATTAGTCAGTGTGAAAATATTCGACATTAATTTGACATATGTACGTACTTACGACCTTACGACATTGACACAATGACGTGTGTGTATTATTTGACGAAATGCACGAAAATCAATGATTGTTATTCAGTAATTAGTTAATGCAATTCGTGATTATTTTCGACTTATAATAATAATTGAAAATAAAAATTGTTAAGTAACATTTTTATATGACAAAGACTTAATAGAAATATGTATTGTTTGATACTTTATGCATACGTACTTATTCGTACAAAGATGATATTAGAACGCAGATGTTATTAGAAAAGACTGGAAATGTAAATATTAATCGTTGAATTCCTTTTTATTAAATAATATTTTACCGCAAGTTGTACAAAATAACGATTTATCACAAAAACTTCAAAATCTATGTGATTATTTTTCATATTACCTTTTTTGTACAAGGTGGGGCACGATCTGGCATTCTCCTTTGTCAAATCGTAAAGTGTAATTTTCTTCCAAATTATTTCATCCGTTGCCAGACAGTAGCGTGGAAACCCCTTAAATTTTAATAAATTGTAACTGTACTTACGTTACAGTACAAGAGCTGAATTTTATATATTTTAAATATTACAAGATGTTTTCTCAGTAGCTTTAGTAGACAGTTTGGTCACTTTTATCTTCTAACTACTAGCTAGACAAACATATAGGGTAGCTGTAAGTGCGAGCGCGATACAATATATCCGAGTGAGATAGTTATTTTTATTGATCTGATAATTTTAATATGTTTATTACTTAAAAAAAAATTATGTTTTAAAAATTATTGACTGTAATTTTCTTGTTGATAAGTGAGTAAAATATAAACCTAATAAGTTAGTAAAAATTTTTTTGAAATTTCATGAACTTTGTTTTTAAAATTCAATTTAATACTAATTAACATGTTTTCAGTCTCTTCAGAAAATAATGTCATTTTCCAACTACATTTCTTTTTACAAATAACACAAATTATCTCGTCGTCGTCTCTCATGATGGTACTTTTTCGAAATTGAATCACATTTATGTAATAAACTGCACAAGGAAATAGTAAAACGTGTAATGTGTTTATATACATATTATGTTACTTGAATAGCTATTAGGAGATGTTTCCTCAGTAGCTATACAATTTCGACAGTTTTAAGACCTGACCAGACAAAATTTTAGGGATTTTTAAGGAATTATAGAGACCTTTAGGTGCGAGCGCAAGGTAATATTTATCTGAGTGGATGCGAGATAGTGAGTTTGTCCTTTTCGGCGCTTCGTTGTTTCGTCAGTCATAATATATAAAATTCAGATTTTATAGTAAAACGCAAGGGGTTGCCACGATACTAAGTGTATAGATTTCTAATATTATTCCGAAGAAAATATAATAAAATTACACTTTATACACAAATTTACGTTGCTTTTTAGGGTTCCGAACCCTAAGGATAACCAACGGGACTCTATTACTAAGCCTCCGCTGTTCGTCCATCCGTCCGTCCGTCTGTCTGTCAGCGGGCTGTATCTCATGATCCAAAATAGGTAGACAGTTGAAATTTTCACAGATAGTATATTTCTGTTGTCGCTACAACAACAAAAATAAAAAAAATTAAAAATTAAAAGGGACTCGCCTGCTTGAAACCTGTATTACGATAGGTAGGTACGGAACCCTTAACGCGCGAGTCTGACTCGCACTTGCCGGTTTTTATACACCTACATATTGCTACCTATTACCTGCCAAAGCGACGATGATCAAAATTTCATAGTAGCCCATCCTACCTATGTTAGGAGCATGTGCAGAAAAATTTAAGCTTTTGTTAAATAATAAAGTCTAGCATTCACGGGGTCTTGCACTATTATATCTATGTACATAAATAAAATTGAAGTATCTGTCTGTAATAATAATAATAATAATCTTTATTGATAAACATATTACAATCACAAATATTTACAATGGTCAACAGCCCCTAAACTAGGATATTATACCTGTATTTTAGGGGCTAGTTTTCCTTCCCTATTCTTAGTTCCTATAAAATAAAATAATTTGTTTATCGATATATAGTTAAATATGATTATGTTTACAAAAATTTCTTAAAACTAACTAACGAAAATTTAAAAAAGTATTTTAAAAAAGTATAATAAAAATATTAAAAAGGAATGTAATGTTTGCACTGTAACTAAACTGCGTGTGTGTGTTTGTGTGTGTGTGTGGGAGTGGGTGTGGTTAGGTGGGCGTGTGGGTGGGTGTGCGTGTGTGCGAGAGTATTTATGTATTAGCTGGTTTTGTTTATACATCCAAGGAAAAAAGGTTCTCCGTACCTTCATAATCAAATTCTTTTAGCCATTCTGTAATTTTATTTTTCACTTCAAAGTTATTTAGTGATCTTATGTTATGTTTACTATTAAGTTTGTTGTATAGCCTAGGTGCCAAAAAGTCAAAATGTCTTCTAAAAACAGCACTATTTGGTCTCGGAACAGGACATCGTTCAATTCTCTTATTGCTAAGTTTTAATTTAGGCACAGTGACACGATGATATCTCCTTAGACTTTGCAGAATAAATGTTTTACGAACAGATAGCACTTTCGCCCTGTCATATACGGACACTGTTGAGTGGCGAAATGGTAGACGAAATATTACTTTTAAGACAGCTCTTTGTGCGCGTTCAACCTTAATTAAATAACTTTTAGCGGCACCTCCCCAAGAACAAATGCAGTAATTAAAGACACACTCTCCCAATGCTTTATATGTTTTAATAAGTAGTTTGTAATCGGTCACTGTCCGTAAACTTTTAAATATATAAATTAGTTTTCTTAGTTTATTAGCCACTGCATCAGTATGGGCCTCCCAAGTTAATTTGTTGTCAATGATTACACCAAGATATCTGATCTGATCTGTTTTAGCTAAATTACTACAATGACATGGTGTAAAGTTAATAGTGCGATTGCAAGGATATCTGTGGATAGTAATTTTAAAGTTTCTAGTTGGAAGAGAAGCATTAGTCTTACCGAAACATAGGTATTTGGTCTTTGAAACATTAAGAGATAGTAAATTATCTTCAAGCCAACTTGTTACTAACCTAAGACCATTTTCTGCGAGTTGTGCTACTTTATCCCAAGTGTCTCCATGAAAAATCAATACAGTATCGTCAGCAAACATGGTTAAATCGGCATTTTTGATATTGATTTTACAAAATTCGTTAACATAAATAAGGAAGAGCGAAGGACCTAAGGTACTTCCCTGTGGCACACCGTAAGAGCAAGAGGAACTGCTGCTTGTGTAATTGTCGATTCTGACACGTTGGCGTCTATTCGAAAGATAGTCTCTAAACCAGTTGTAGACAACACCTCTTATACCCAAGTTTTCCAAACGGTTGAGCAGTATGGGAATCGACACTGTATCAAAGGCTTTTGAAGGTCCAAGAAAACCCCAACACATTTTTTGCCACAGTCGAGGTATTTAGATATAAGAGATGTTAATCTTAATACAGCATCTTCTGTTGATCTACCCGAACGGAAGCCAAATTGATTAATATCAATGAAATTGTTTCTTTCAAGGTACCGTATCAGTCGTTTATTCACTACCTTTTCCAATATTTTTGACAGAGTACTAAGAAGTGAAATCGGTCTATAATTAGAAGGGAGCTGCTTGTCACCAGATTTGTATATAGGACAAACCGTAGCTTCTTTAAAAATAGCAGGAAAAACACCTTGCTCTAAACTTAAGTTGCAGATAAACGCTATTGGCTCAGAGAGGATATTTATGTACTTCTTTAGGAAATATGAAGAAATAGAATCAAATCCAGGAGTGCTATTTGTTTTTAGGCCTATAATAATGCGCTTAACTTCTTCAGTATCTGTGGGCTCGAGGGACATAGACATAAGAGGTGCATTCGGTAATCTAGCCTTTATTGCCAATTCATTTTCACTCGTGTTTAGTTTTTGAAGTGTAATGTTAGCTAGGTTTCGCCCCACTGATGTGAAATACGAATTAACTTTGTCAAGAGATTTAGAGGGGGAAATATCAGCATCAAGTAATTCCTTAGGAGATTCCTTATTCGTATGTATGTTGCATACGTCTTTTATTATTTTCCATGTTTCTTTATTATTTTTAGCATTAATATGTAGTTTTTCTTCGTAATACTGCCTTTTAGAAAATTTAATTAATTTATTACACATATTACGATACTTTATATAGTTTGCGAGAAGTTCTTCATTATTCGGATGTAATTTTACTTTTAGGTGCATCTTGTTCCTTTTACGTATGGAAATAATAATGCCATGTGTAATCCATTGTTTAAGTGGTCTAAATTTTTTAGGTAACTCATTGATGACCGTGTTATTATTAACCACCGTAAGTAATTTTGTTAAAAACTGTTCTGCAGCAATATTTGCATCAGTTATATTAAATAGGTAATGCCACGTTTCTGCTGACAAGTAATTATTAATAGTATCATAGTTGGTATATTTTAATGTTAATCGATTATTATTACGAATAATTTTCTTAGATTTTATGCATAACAATATTGGGGCATGATCTGTTAACGGATCAAACACAAAAGTACGCCAAGTGTTAACACTTTTAATCATAAAGTGATCGATACAAGTATTTAGTCTAGTCGGAATATTAATGCCCTGCTTGAGACCATACATTGCAATTAGGTTAAGGTAATTTTGCACGTGCGTAGAACTATTCGATAGTATATTTAAATTTATGTCACCTGTCAAAATAATGTGAGGAGTATTATTATTCTTAAGAATATTTTCTAAAGAATGTAGATAACAATTTGGATTACAAAAACTAGGGGGTCTATAAGAACAGATGATTGAATATTCCGAATTTATATTTATAATCAAGCAATTTCCTTCTTGAAAGAGTGGTTCAGATACAGTTACTGATGAATTTAAAGAAGCATGAATGTAAACCACTACGCCATCATTTTTATTTAAATAATTAACGGTTTGATACATCTTGTAATCGGTAATTTGAGGTGGTGTGAAATTATTATTGGTCCAACATTCAGTTAAAACCAAGATATCAATATGAATACCAAGACTTACTACAAACGTTAGAAATAAATCAAAATTTCTATTTATACTGCGAATGTTGACGGACAGTACCATCAACAATCCATCTGCACTACCAAATAATTCTGAACACTTTGTTGGATCATTTAAATATGTGCAATTAATACTATGGTACTCATCTATATCCGTTGTTATAATATTGTTAATTTTATCTATATTAAGATTAATATTTGTAAAACCAGTGCATATACATAACTCATTATGTTAAGCTTGAATATATTTTTGATAGCAACGAGTTTTATTAACCACTTGTTATAGTGTATATAAAAATTATGATAAATTTGTGAATTGTGGATTTCATGAAAGTGATATATGTTGTTAATAATGTGTTTAAGACGTATGTTGTATGAACATATATGTGATTTCATTTGTTGGAGAAGAATGTAAGAGTATAATAAAAATATGTGTTTTGTGTATTGTAGTATGTATTTGTATATATAACTAAGTGCGCAACATTTAAATGAGAATATAGTAAGAAAAAGCTTAATAATTTCATTAAAAACTAAAGATATCAGGATATTGAATAAACTTAACAAAAATATAAAATCTTTAAGGATGCAATATGTTAAGTGCAATATTAGTCATTTTTCTTTTTTTCCAAATCAGCTTCACTTTCAATGCGAATTAGGGATGCTCCTTCTTTTTTTCGGAGGTAGACTTTGCCATGTGAAGTCCAACAAAATATATAATTGTTTACTTTTGCGAATTTTCTTGAAATTAAAAACAGATTTCTCGTTCTGCTAGGGAGAGACTCTGATATATAAATTAGATGGGACGGGCCGTCAATTTGTATGTTTTTAGTGTTAAATTTATCATTTTTATGGCTGTTATTATATTTCTTAAAAGCATCAATAAAACGGTCGCGTGTTAATACACTAATGAAATCTACTATTATCGGTTTATTCGCCGATTTTGTGTTAATGCGATACACGTCTTTAATATCAGATCGGTTAATGTCTAGTTTAAGCTGTTGGCCTGATGTAATAACTATATCAGAGAGGTTTTCTTTTGTCTCATACGTTTTTTTAGGAACATTTCTTATTTCTAAACTAGTAGAACAGTGGTTCCGCTCAAGTTTTTCAACTTTTTTTTCAAGTAATTGAATATATTGCATATTAGCCTTTTTCTCCGACTCCAATTTATCGAGTTTATTAATCAAACCATCGTATTTTTCTGATAAGAAATCGATTGACTTTTGCACTGCAGAGTTTTGTTCCTTTATAACATTTAAAAATGTAGTAATTTTATCCTCTTGATCTTTTTGGAAACTCGTAAACATATCCTTAATTTCTTTTTTGAATAAATTTAATTCATCAGTGTAATCGTTACTTCGCTTTCTTTTACTACGCACCGATACAGTCGATGACGAATCGGAGTCTTGTGTAATAGGAAAATATGGCTCAGAATCATTATCGTCTTTTTTACGAGCAGCCGATTGTCGCTGTGACGGTGAGCGTTGCATATTTAAAATTTATAAAATTATGTTGTTTAGGTACCGCAATATCATAAATGTTAAAACTATCACAGACGTGAATGCTACAGAGGTCTAAAAATTTGGACGCTGATCGGTATCAGAGAACTGTGTCGCTTTCCGTCCAGTATAAACTGAACCCTCGATGCAAACAAGGTCACGTAAGTTGGACGTCAATGGGTATTTAGCGTAAATAATAAATAATGTCCACTGTATTTTGATCACTCAATAGATAAACTTAAGCAACTCACGTATTAATGAGGGTAATCTGACTTAATTGTTTCACATTACACAATAGGTCTTCTTGTTTTTATGCACTCCTACATATTTAGTTTTATTTACTGGTTAGAATTTCAATTATTGGAAGGATCGATTTATAAACAAACACGTCTGTCCCCTACAAAGGTCCGGAAGGGAAGGGGGTAATAATAGCGATATAACTGTCACTTAATGAGCTCGTGTCTATTTGCATGCCATTACTATATGAATAACCTAATATTTTTGTATGTCTGTCTGTCTGTCCGAGCTTATCTTCTCAATGGTTGAACAGATTGTGATTAAACTTTACAAATAAATAGAAAACAATTCTAGAAGCGACCTAGGCTACATTTAATTTGAAAAGCTTGAAGATTTTTTTGTGATATCAAAAATATTATAGAATAAATGGTTGCTGATGATTGTCTTAAATCTAAACGATGACATAAAACACATTAATAGATACAACCCAGGGGAAGTCGTGTTGGGTTGTTTTAGATCCAGTTTTATAACATAATTAGATAAAAACTAGATCAAATATAAAATACCTTAATTCATTGTATTTTAGATTAACTCTTTTTTTTAATATTTATTATTTTATTAAATATTATATTAATGTCATGTTTTAACCCTTAATACGAGTATAACGTAGTAGTGCCACGATGCAGCCAGTTGTAGCACGAATGGGGAAGGACCACGTTCTCACAGAACACCACCGTAATATATTAGTTTAACACTGCTGTGTTTCGTATGGTAAGTGTAGAGAACGGGAGACCCATTTTACTGAAAAAGAGGCATTCCATCTTAGTCCTAATGGGTGACAACGCATCTGCATTTTGATTCTTTATTGAAGAAGACTGTGTCCTCGTTTGTCACCCTGTCCTATAAAAATGTGGAACACTCGGTTGGAACGAAGTTCCTTGCGTATTATATAATTATTGATAAACGTAGGTATTATATTATTGATTATCAAATACAAATAAATGAATTACTAGCGTATATTAAAATGAAGCGTCATTTTAAACAAAATAATATTTCTTTCATGGCAAGATAAGAAAAAGTGCGAGGGAGATGGATATTATTCCATCTCACTTCCTTATTTCACCACCAAGGCCGTCTATACTATGACACAAGGGGTAGTGACGAAAAAATCTTACACTTTTTGTCACCTAGCTCCCATCCGCCAAACCCGTACCACCCGATAAGGAACTTCGTTCCAAAATATTTATTTGTCTTACTTTGTTTAACTGTGTTAACTGTTTGTTTAACTGTAACTTTGTTCCAAAATATAATTGTCTATAGCAATTATTAATTTTGTTTCTCGCCTCATCAACGGCTTCTGTCACTTTTCAAGTTACTGACTTGATGCAGTACACCATATATTTCAGGATTAGAAAACTTTCCGCGGCGAAGATCCATTCATTGTAGTTTTCGTGGTCTCGTACGTTAGGAACATTTAGTAGATAGTTCGTTGTTGGGTTGTTCGTAAATAAATAACTCTCCTCTAAATAAAATTGCTACTACTTCTAATTCGGAACAAATTGCTACTTAGGGCCTGTTCACATAACCTAAAATGAATCCACGTCTTTCACAAATTACTATAGATCATACATAAAGTACACTATACGAGTGGCAGTACACAGTAGACATTACTCATAAGGTACACAATAAATGGCAGTATAGGTAATCTTATTTTGATATAATAATAAGAGCATCTTTCTGCGCAATATATTAATGGTGTAGAGCTCGTTTAAGAGTATACATAGAAGTGCTTGGTTGTAGATGCTGGAGCGCGAGAGCAAGCGCGAGCGCATCCTGGAGGCGCGGCTACGCGAGCTGCGCCTTCGTCAGAAGCAGCCGGAGCGCACCGCGTCCGCCTCCGCGCTGCCAACGGCCGCAGACCTGGCCGCCCTCACCGCGCAGTACGCGCTCGCCGTGCGCCGCGAGCTCGCCGCCCTCTCCTGACCGCACACACTCGCACACACGCCGCACAGACCGTCCCTTCTTATTTAGATATACAACACGTAACAAAAACCCTGTGGTTCTCGTTAAGTGCTTTATCAAATGAGTATTTTTATTAGAGGAAAAAAAACTACATTCGATTTATAAAAAAAAATATTTATATTTTTATTCAGTTTCTAGTCTTAAGTGTGTATGTCCGCAAAATGGCACCTTTTTAATTATACTGTTTTATTCTGTACCATTCGTTCTTATACTATTACAGACGTCACTAACATTTACACCAAATTGAGTAACGTTAAAAAGTTAATTAGATGCTTTACAAAGTTTCTTAATTAATATTGTTGATAAATGCTTAATTTTTACCATATACACGATATTTTATATGTTCTTTAGATATAATTTTATTTGTTTCATAATTTTAAGCATTTTATATTAATACTTTTATTAATATACAATTAAATATAATTTAAGTGGGTTTCTTATTTAAATGTTTCCTCATCTATATTTTGGCTGGTATAATAAATAATTTACAAGTATACTAATATGTATATTCAGATTGAGTAAAATCTGTTTTCCAACAATAATGATTTCTTATATTTACGCGAACACTACACATTTTTAAATAAAACTAATTTTACGGATTTTATCGCGTATATTAACTTATTTTTAACTTATTTTTATATTCCCGACGTTTCGGGTGCTTTCCAGCACCCGTGGTCACGGGGGACTGAGTTGTTTGACGTCCTGCTGTCATAGTTAGCCCGGCTACCTTCAGTTTTTTAATATTAATTTTTGGTTCGATTTACGCAGAATGAGCTTACAGTATCTTGAAGTCTAGCAGTGGTATACTTGGGTTTGGATTTGATTTTATTAATTATGGGATCCCAAGCAGATGGCAGCACCCATCCATCTTCTCTATTGAAATTAGGATGTTTTTTAATTTCAATAGCCTCGCGAATCATCCTTGGGAGGAATCGGTGTTCTTTTGCGAGGATTTGTGGTCTATCAAATCTAATGTAATGACGGGGACGATCCTGAACATGTTCACAAACTGCAGACTTCCCGATACGTCGTGATACATCAGTGATGATACTTAGATAGAAGTTATGGTGTTAACTCGCCAGGAGGCGCTGCAATAAACATATTTGTGCAAAGTGTTATGGTGTTAGCTTAGCAGAAAGCGCTTCTCATTTATTTTCAATACGGTTTAACCGAATTAGATATGGTTTCCTGTAAAGAGTTTGTGATTTATAGATGATGGTTCTTAGATAGATGTTTTGATTTTGTTAACTTTTATACGTGGTAGAGCCATGCTGCAGATATTATTCGTGCTACAACTATATATAATAGTATAGTTGTAGCACGAATGGGTCGGCTCGATTGGGGAATGACCACGCGCTCACAGAATACCAGCGTAAAATAGCAGCTTAATGCTGCTGTGTTTCGTATGGTGAGTGGAGAGAACCGAAGACCCTTTTTACTGTAAAAGAGGCATTCTGTCTTAGTCCTTACGGCTGACAACGCATCTGCATTTTAATTCACACACGAAGGTAGATATAGATGTCTGGGCCACAGCAGCCATCCACCATCAGGTGGACTGTGTGCTCGTTTGTCATCCTTATTCCATTAAAAAAAAACTTAACATGGGGCGCTGCAAATAAAGGTAATATAATTATAAGCCCATGTAAATCCGTCGAGGCTGCCATTGCCATGTTCATAATTTCAATACAGAAAAACTAGGAGATGCAGCAATTAGAATCAATTAGATTATATTTATTTACGTACACAACTTAATTTAAAATAGTCACAAATACAATCCCAATCTCAAGTGAATCCGTCATTTCACGACGGATTTACTTGGGATTGTAATTATATTACCTAATAAATAGGTGAATATGTGAAGTATCTATATTTGATATTATTACTGGTATAGTGGGGTATGGGTAGTGTGACAAACGAGCACAGCACATAGTCCACCTGATGGTAAGTGATTGCTGTGGTCCGTAGACGTCTACATCTATCCTCATTTGCGAATCAAAATGCAGATGCGATCTATCGCTACGACAAACATTTAGGTACACAAAGGTAGGAAGAACTAAGAAAAGTCATTATAAGTTGTTTATTATAACAGACCTAGCGAAAAATCAACCTTCCTTTTATTCAGGAGTTTTTTTTAAAAATATTTAATCCATTTCGGTTACAACTTTTACATTTGTCATGGGTATTTTCAAAATGTTTAATTTTGTTTTTTATCAATAATTTAGGGGAAGTACCATAATAATAAAAAAAATATATACATGTATCAAGGTAAGGTAAAAGTGGTAGAGCCACGCGGCAGCTTTTGCTGTCGCACGGATGGGCCGGCTCGAACCGGGGTGGTACCACGACCTCACAGAAAACCAGCGCGAAGTAGAGATTTACCTCTGCGTTTCGCTTGGTTAGTGCAGGTGGCCGGAGGCCCTTTTTACTGGAAATGAGGCATTCCATCTTAGTCCTCACGGGTGACAACGCATCTACATTTTGATTTGTAATAGAGGATAGATGTAGATGTCTATGGGCCGCAGCAACCACTTACCATCAGGTGGACTGTGTGCTCGTTTGTCACCCTTATTCTATAAAAAAAAATCAAAGAAATATTTAATTTGGAAATAATTTAGTATATCGAACACAAAACTTTGCTCAGTATTAGAAAAAAAATATTATGAGAAATCACTTAAATATAAATATGTAGCACGCAACGCACACTGGCGTTGCATGGCTATGCTTTACACATTGGACAATCGCGGAAATGATTTAGCGAAATCACTATTCTTATTGCGCAATCAAGTCAGTTGCGTTGTCAGTGTGAAAACACGGAGAAAACAAATTTTTCCAAAAATAAATTTGTAACGGTATTGTTAGATCCGTTTTCAAGAATACAATTATAAACAGATAAATAAATATTGTTCGTAATATTAGTATAGGATTTATAATAAAACAATGCAAAATAATATATGATTATAGACTGGCGATATTTCTAAAACAAAACACAGCAAAGCAATGGCCGATTATCTATATTTAAATCAGTCGCTAAACGCGAACGGCACGTGATGCCGGTGCGTGTGAGCTGCTAAATATAGAACACTCAGATGGAATGGACGTGGAAACACTAGAAGGGGATAATATCGAGGACGAGGATGCAGAAGACAGTGAGGATGTAGGTTTTGCGAGTGCGTGGCAGAGAGGGGACGGGGTGGCGCTGGCGATACTGCGGTCGGTGTTCTCGTGGCTGGAGGGCGGGTCGCTGGTGCGGGCGGCGGGCGTGTGCCGCGCGTGGCGCCGCGCGGCCGCCGAGCCGGCGCTGTGGCGGCGCCGCCTGCTGCCGCGCGCCGCGCCGCCGCACCTGCGTGCGCTGCGCCGCGCCGCCGTCGCCGCGCAGCTGCACACAGGTAACGTCTACATTCTACCGTATCTTTTCTAGTAGATACTACGTAGGTACTAGAAAAGACGCTGACACTTGGTTGTTTGCAACATGCGTTATAGCCCACGGACTCAAAATTACTTAGTACTTACCATGAAAAGGTACTCTGTTTCTCTTTTTACGCAGCCCGCACTGACGCACAGATTTTGTTAACGGTGTCTGTTCTAGTATGTTGTGCATATTATTAAAATTCAGTCAATTTACCGTAATTATTTTAGCGTTTATAATTATACGCTAACAACTTGAGCACTTATGACGTTTACTGCGCAAATGCTCCCCCCCCCCCCCCCGCTAATTTGTATAGATTAGTGCTTCCACGCCACATACGCTCCTCGGATGACTGTATTATCGTTTTTCACGTATGCTCCAGCTATTTGCCGGCAATTGTACTATTTATTAGGCTAGACGAAGAGACTTTTTGGTTTCTTATTTGATTGGAGGTAGAACCCACGGACTCCGACTAAGTTAGCCTTTGTCATAAAAAGGTACTCTGTGCCTCTGTTCATTCGCCCCCCAATGCTGCACAGATTTTTTTTTGGCGGTTTCTGTTCTAGTATAAAGTATAGTATGACTCCAATACTGTACGCATCTATTTATGCTATTTAAGGTTATTATTTTGTTTATGACCGTATTTTTTGAGACTTTTCTTCTTCATTACCAATCCGTGAAATAGCTACAGTTGGACATGGGCCTCCCCATCGTAGGGGTGACTCGCCCTAATCGTCATAGGTGGCAGGCGGAATGACGGTCGCACTATTAGACGTCCCGTACTTTTGACAATGTTGCTGTCAGTAGAGAACTAGCTTGTGTTCTGCTATGTGTGCTGCTCGTCACCAGCCCGGGTACTTTAAGTTTGACGTAAAAGAAAATATACCGCCATCTACCGGAAGACATAACATTTTTCTAGCATTTGCCATAATCGTTTCTTACGTCAACACCGGGACAAAATGGAGGGATTAATTCTCTTCGTCGACACATATGTTCCACCAACTAAAACAATGGCAGATATAGCCAAAAGGCAGTTATAAGATAATAGTAATAATTCGCCATCAGAATGATTTTGTGTCATGACGTTGAGTATATTTATTTTTCGATCATGTTTGTCTCACCCATTAAGTTGCCTTAAACCATTCAAAGGTGGGAAATTTATAGACATATATATTATGTTAATATGTAAAACATGGATGTTAGACAATCTGCAGCCCCGTAATGACGGGACCCGACTTGGGCAAAGCTACTTAGGTTGTGAGTCAAACTAAGACGCAGAGAGTGCCATTGAGAATAGCGACCCGCCCAACTACCATCGCAGAGATGAAATGCTGCAGAACAAAACAAGCATCAATACGACTATCGTCAGGCTTACACCATCCCAAAGTCTTACATACAATCTCAGCAGACGTCACCACCCGCATACCTCCATCGACCAGAACCACAACATGCATCGAATCAGGCGCAACACACCCGCAGATCCATTACAAGATGCAAAACTGCAAATAGCAGTAAGCATCAATGCAACTATCATACGTAATGATTTCTTATATTTACGCAAACAATACACATTTAAATAAAACTAATTTTACGGATTTTATCGCGTATATTAACTTTTTTTATATACCCGACATTTAGAGCACTTTACAACATCCATGGTCACGGGGGGGACTGAGGTGTATGACGTTCCAATGTCATAGTTAACCACGGCTACCTCCAAATTAATAATTATTAATTTTTGTTCCGATCTACGCAGTATGAACTTACAGTATCTTGAAATCTTACAGTTGTATGCCTCGGTTGGGATTTGATTTTATTAATTATGGGATGCCAAGCAGATGGTAGCACCCAGCCATCTTCTCTATTGAAATAAGGATGTTTTTGGATTTCAATAGCCCCGCGAATCATCCTTGGAAGGAATCGGTGTTCTTTAGAGAGGGTTTGTGGTCTATCAAATCTAATGTAGTGACGGGGGCGATCCTGTACAGCGTCGATTCTTCACATTAGCTATGTATTCTTTAACGTGGGTTTTTATGGATATTTTAGTTTGTCCTATATAAGAGAGACCACATTCACAATCAAGCTTGTACACTCCTGCATCTTGCAGAGGGACATTACACTTGACTGATGGTAAAAACTGACTAATCTTCTTCGGCGGCTTGAAGTATGTGTTAATGGAAGCACGCTTCAAGATGTAGACACCTCTGACATATGGCAGTACAGCAGGCACTCGCTCGACTGTGGTCGGCTTCACTCGTTCACTGTAACGTAGGCGCGAGACCCGAAGTATATTGTCGTGCCAAACTTGCTTGACGTGTTGGAGCTCGGAGGTTCCATAATAAATAAAATGAAATCCCAACCCAAGCATACAACTGTAAGATATAAGAGAAGAAGTAAGTACTGTAAAAATTAATAATTATTAATTTGGAGGTAGCCGTGGTTAACTATGACATTGGGGCGTCATACACATCAGACCCCCCGTAACCATGGGTGCTGTAAAGCGATCTAAACGTCGGGAATATAAAATAAGTTAATATACGCGATAAAATGATCCCTATCGACTTTGGTAACGAAGTTACTGTAGTTAACTAAAAATACCACCAATGTATCATAGTAGCACGCTACTAAGACGTCAGTAGCCAAAACTCCACGTATCATAGCGCTATTGCACTAAGACATGGAGTTGAGTATGCTTGCTGCACACAAGTACTACCAAACACACTCACCCTAATCCGAAAGATAGCCGACGTATCATAACGCTACGAGGGTGACACTGAAAGTTCATAGAAAATCAAAATCTGAACAAACTAGCAAGTTGTTAGTTTTATTATATCTTTTCAAAATAGTGTGTATTTACGTCAATACATCGCTGCATGCGATGGAACCATTGAGAAAAGCACTTTTCTCACTCGTCTTTAGGGGTTTCTTCGACGGCATTTTGAAACGCAGCCACTGCTTCCTCGGCGTCCATAAACGTTTCTTCTATTTTTGGAAATAAATAAAAATCGCAAGGATCGGGGTTATAGGGCGGATGACCCAGTAATTCCACGTCTGACGTCGCTAAGTAATCGATTGTTTACTTGGCGGTATGAGCTGAGGCATTTTCGTGGTGAAGGAGGATTCTACTGTGAAGTCGTTTCTCCCGAACTTTTTTCAAGACAAGTGACAAACAATTATTAGTGTACCACTCTGCAGTATCTGTTTTTCCATCCTCTAAAACAATTGTTGCGTAATGACCTGTCCTTCCGAAGAACGAGACCACTAACTTTTTCCCACGCTTCGACCTCTCTTCACTTTAGTTGGCAACTCCTCGGAAGGAAACACCCAGACAGCAGACTGTCTCTTAGTTTCAGGATCATAACAATAAATCCAGCTTTCGTCACTCGTAAGTGTGTCAAACACAGCATTTGAGTCACCTATTCCTAAACGTATATATGCATTCAGCGAGGAAAATAGTCCCAAAAGAATTTTAATGTTGAAACTCATCGCTTAACGAATCACTGAAAACCCAAAGCTTTCGATATATACTACTACACGGACTCTGCGGCCTTAATACATTACCTATTACATACCCTCTCACACAGTGCTTCAACATCACTTACCACCAGGTGGGATTATTTAAGCACTGGCTTATAACAAATTTAAAAAAAAAAAAACAGTTACTCTTATTGACTGTTGTAAATTAAAATACAACTGCGTGACATATTTACCTTGCCAGCTACCCGCCAGCGCGATCTACAGCTGGGAAACATTATTTGTTCTAAGTTGCTAGTCTAATATTATATTTAAAAAAGCAAGAAACTTACAGAGTCGTCGTGGTCGGGCTGGTCATGGCGGCGCGAGTACTGGCTGACGGCGGCGCGCTGGCGGCTGCAGTCGCGCGAGCTGGCGGCGGGCGGCGCCTGCGTCACGCACGCCGCACTCAGCCACGCCGCAGATCGCATCGCTGTCACCGCAGACGACGCTTCTTTCACTGTACCTAGCTTTAGACTTACATTACGAAATTAGAACATGAAATTAGTTTTATGACATCAATTCTATCAACATTTCATGTGTAAATTACTAATTTCATAATTAAATGCACAACAAATGCAACGCACTTGCAATTCTCTTGGTGTTGCAGTTGTTAATGGGCGGTGGTAGTCATTATCCATCAGATATGCCGCATGCGTATTTGCCAAGCACTTTCATGCTACGCGCGATTTATAGATGAAACTAATTTCGTGCAACTAATTTCATCGCATAAAGGCGACTTTATAAATTTTAATATACACAACCTCTAATCTTAATAAGTACAGATTACAATATAACATGAAATGTCTTCTGCCATTTGCTTTTGTAGTTTTGTCAGTCACGAGCGAGCACAAGCGAGCACAAGCACAATTCTAGTAATTCTAGCTTAATTTTTAGAGGTATCGACAGGCATACGGTCGGTGGCCTCTACAAGTAAAGCATTACCCAAGCAGCACACAAGCGTTATGAACATCAATATACCAGCCCATATGGAACTTAGAGTTCTTTTAGACGCGTATAAGGGTGTCGAAAAGAGATTGTACCCTTATAAGAGTGGTTTATGAGTTATTATACAGCTCAAGCTGTATAAAGTCTGTATTATGGGATCTAACCCTTCACTGCATGATTTAATATTTTCTCGTAGAAAAAATAATATGCATGTAAAATATAATAATAAATAAGGATGTGTTAAAAAAATAAAAAAATTCTGTGACGTTTTTAAGTATTTATTTTTTTTGAAAAAAAAAAAACCATATGATGGATATTTACATCATTATGCAATTAGTAACAATGAGCTAAGTACAAAATAAAATAATGAAAAAAAAATTAGTTTTTGTGATGATTTTCAAAACAATTATTGTTTTTATTAAGACACATATTGATTCCACATTTGCTGAATCTTATTGTAGAATACCCCTTACACTGTGGGTACTTACAACGTAGTGAACCTCCAACTTGTGGCCAATGATCAACACCGTCTTTTCTTATGTCCTTTGGTGGAGCAACAACTGCTGGTCCACTTTTCCTTTTCGCCTGTATTTCGTTCTCTAAAGAACTGGTATTGGGACGACCTCTTTTAACTACTGTGTCAGCTCTTATTCTGCACAAAACTTGTGCTAATTCATTTCGAAAGTTGCCCATCGAAAGTATATCCTTTTTTGATCTATTTCTATTTGCCGCATTTTTTTTGTACAAGATCCAAAAATTAATGACTCTGATCAAGTAGATGGAAAAATATACGTAAATACCATTTTTTTGATCTCCCCATAAACTGTCTATTAAGTCCACCCCTCCCATATGCTTATTATATTCATGAACGATTTGTGGACATGGAATTTCTACCTTTTCCTTTTTCGATTTATCATAGCTAGTGACGCTAGACACTGGTGTTGCCCCAACATAAATAAACAACGATAAAAGTATCACTATCTTGTTGTCTTTCCAGGTGACACAGGCCATCTCAATGCCATCATAAGTAGATGTTCTTTCTTCATGACTGCCTCTTGGTACTGCCTTCTTCATAAACTCTTTCTTTTCAGGCAATTTCGAGTTAGGGATCCTATTCTGCTGGACAGTGCCAACAGAGTGAATTCCCTGTTTGGCTAGAAAGTAAATTAGGCAGTGATGTGTAAAAATTATCAAAGTACACAATATAATTTTGATATCTTGGTACTCCTCTTAGCAAACGATGTCATTTTTTCCTTCAAGTCTCCCTATATTTGCCTGTCCTGCATACAATTTAAATGTATGTGCATATCCAGATAAATCGCAAAGTACATAAAATTTGAACCTCCAATTATGGGGTTTATTTGGCAGGTACTGTTTTAGAAAGTGTGCAACCTTTGTTGCACACATCTGCTCATCCACTGATAGCCGTTGTTCTATAGGTAGTGAAGAAAACTTTGTTTTGAGGTGCTCAATAACTAGACGAATTTTAAATAAACGGTCATGATCTGCTTAGCCCACAGGTCTATTATCCCAAAAAACTTATTGATATTTGATGCTGTGTATATTATTTTGTTATTAGAATCTTTTTGCATGCTATATAAATTAGTTTCTGCTACAATTTTTTGTATAAAATCATCATTAAAAATATTAAGTAGTAAGTAGTTTAGTAAGGAGTTTCTAAGTGAGATATTTCAGAAGCAAAAGATGAGCAGCCTAAAAATCTAATTTTCTCCTCATCAAAGTCCATAATTTTCTTTTTCCAAATATGTTTTCTCTTGTCCAATAATGAATTTAAAATATTACCACTGTGGGATCTATTTTGAATTTCTGCTCCTAGTGATTCTTCAACCAGAGGTGGGTCTTCTTCATTTACTTGCTGATCACCTTCATTACCATTTTCATCATCCTACAGATTTAGAATTTCATCTCTAATATAGTTTAAATTTGAAAGGTCATCATCATCACAGTCATCAGCTTCTAGTCCATCTTCTGACAGCCAATCATCTTCCAGTTGTGCTAGATAGTGTTCTATGTCTTTTTCTTGTAAATTATTCTAAAACAACAAAAAATCATACAAAATGTTAAATTTCATGAACAAAAATTTCACCATACTATAAGTATGACCATACTGCATACTGATGTAAATTTACATCATACCAAATTGACATAAATTTCGATATATTTTTAGTGTTTTCATTACAAATGCTAGCAGATTCTAAAACATTTACCTTATTTCCACTCATTATGAATATTTTCAACAACTCAATATAACGTAATTATTTTGCACCGTTACGACAAAACTAACAGTCACCAGGTAACTAAATTGTGATCATAGATAAATATATATGTAGCAAGCTAGATTTGCTATAAGCAATAATAATAAGCAATTATGATAAGCAAGCTAGATAGAAGATTGTGATTGTCATTAGACATTGACATTTGTTTTTTTTTTCGAAGTAAATACTTTCCGTTTCATTCATAAATATTTCAAGAAATTGTCTGATGCAAAAATATCAACGCCGCCTACTGATTTGTGTACTTTTTTACCCTGTGAACCGTTTGATGGAATTTTCCATCAAGATGCAATGAAGGGCTAAGTAAGCTTAGGGTTCTTAATCAGAATATGAAAACTCTACTATACAACTTTAAGTATTTTATAACGCTTCAATCTAATTTTATCATTAAAGCTGTATAGAAGCTGTTTTTGCATGCCGTCACATACTTATTACAGCTTTAAGTGTTATAATAGTATCATTCAAATATTATTTCTGTACAATGGTGTATGTGAACTCCCTTCTAAAACTTATTCTTATGGCGTAATTGTATACTCTTGTAAATACAGTAGTTTTATAACTTCTGTATATGAGAGTGATATAAAACTAAAAAAAAATAACAGCTGTAGTACAGATTAAGTCTGTATAAGTGATAGAATATCGCCATTTTGAAGGCGTAATTGCGTGTTTAATATATTGTGCTATAGTGAACAAATTAATTTGTTATCAATATGTGTAAAAAAAGAAAAAGATTTGGTGCAGTTAAAAGAAATATTAAAAGGGAATATTTAAATATTACAAATTATCAAAGAAATAATAGTGATACTGAAGAATATAAAAATTCTTTAATAAATCAGACAAGCTACACTCAAGCGTCAATCCCATCGACGGCTAACAAAGAGGGATCCGTAACTTATTATTATATTAAACAGTGTTAATCATGATCGCAGTTATGTCAAATGTAACTTAGTTTTCTGCACCTGATAATGATGTGTTATCATGCAGCAGCACAAGTAGTTCAAATGATGATAACAGCGAATTTTCAAAAAATCTATTACTTTGCCAGCAAATAAAGGATTGGGCCACAGAAAGTGTGTGAAATGATTTAGCTACAATTGCAAATTTTAGATTTTATTAGCTAGATATATTAGCATTTGATAACTTTTTTGACCTTCTTAAAACGCCTTTATATTCCCACAAACTTGGTACAATGAAAATGCAATTTTTTCCCTTTCTCTACGGTTTCCAAAATTTTAAACGGCATATTTTCCTAAAAAGTAAAATAAAACCAGTATAAGATACACAACACAGTAAAATTACTTCACAATAAGTTTACTTAGGTATCAAATAAAATAGCTAGCTCTTTTGGTTTTACCGTACCTACGTGACGTAGAGTATGACGACGCGAACGAATGACTAGAAAACGAAATGCGTATGCGCTTACCAGGAGTTACCTATCAACTAAACACAATAACAAAATAAACAGCATGCTTGTACTGGTACTATAATGTTGAGCGAGATAAAATATTCTGTCATAAAATGTACCTTCCTTAATATTGTTTGGCAAAGAAAGAGATAGCTTTAATACTTTACTCCACTTTTAACATTAGAAAAAGATGTATACGTAATCTTTATTTGCTAAAGGTAGTCATATTTTGGGTTTGGTTTGTGAATTTAACTGAATCAAAGGGGTAGTAATTTATTGCTAATAAATACAATCATTTCGATTAAATCGATGGTTTTAGGTTGGTACAAAAATGAAAAAATATTTTTTCAATTTATTAATTTTGTCTGTGTGGCTTTATATAGTCTCTGTCTTAAAAGAAGTGAAAGAAGGAGGCATTATTTTGTCCTTGTCCATAAAGTAATACAAAAAAATTATTAAAACACGGTTACGTCTTAAAATATTATTATTTAAATGAGATAATGTGAAGAAGGGATAAAAGTGTTCTTTCTAAGACAAAGGTTTTTCATCTTTTATACATATCTCTGAAGACAATTATCAATAATGTTTTAAAAGCTACTTACTATACAGCGTTAGTAATCAAAATATTCTATTATACAGCTGATTAAAAACTAATGGCTGTATGATAGAATCCATAACTTACATAGTACAGCTACTAAGACTATAAGACCCTCGAAATATCGTTTAGGCTCTTATCCTATAAAAAAGGCTGTTTAGCACATTTTCGCCATTTTAGGACCTATAAAAACAAAATTTAAATTGTATATTTAGGAATA